GCAGGGAGGAGGCGGCCTGCCATATTCAGCAGTGAAGAGGCACTGTGGGAAATGTAGTGCAGCTATTTACCCACCAGGCTTGTTATGGTTCAGGTTTAGTTGCTTTAAAGCTGGAAGAATTTCCCCCCCTCCCAGTATTCCTTCATCTTTTAGCACTTAATATTTTCCATGTGTCATTCTCATTTGTACTAGCTGGAGAAAATCGCGACAAAATTACCTTTCTACTGAGAAATTCTCTCACCAGTGATGCAGCCACTTCTTCCACAAAGGAGTTGTCCATTTTTTAGCTCAAAGTGTGCTTAGGGGGGCGTATCCTTCATCTAACAAATCATTCAAGTCCGCCGACATCGCAGCTCTTCGGTGCGGCTTTTAACCACTGCGGGACGGCAGCGGCGGGGTTCTGTGCGGTCCAGTTGCTGGAGGTATGTTGCTGTGGAGACCATGTCGTCGGAAGCAGGGAGAACTCCTCCCCTTGGAAAGGAAGCTGATGACAGACTTAAAACTGAACGAGCTCGTGGTATAACACTTCAGCAAGCATCTCGGTAATTACTTTAAATAGTAAAATTTGAGAAAGGAATGTTCAAGTGTGAGAGAGGGGATGATCTCCTGTGCTACTGGAACTTTTAACCATGTATATTTTTCCAGTGAAATTGCACTCATTAGCTCGCTGGTGTTTTATGTTGTCCTAGAACATGACACGGCATGTGAAAGAATGCTTGCTATGGTGTTCATGTCCCTGTCTCCCCCTTCGTTCCAGGAATTATATTCCGAAATGAAAGTGGAACATGATTTTGATAACAATTAAGCAGTAAAGGTACTATCCTGATTAAAGACATGGAGATCACACCCCAACTACCATCATGGGCAACACAGCTTCACCTTGGGGAAATTTAATGTAATTTAGTTTCAATTTATTTTTCAACTTAAAAAATAGAACACAGTGGAAAAAAAAACAAAAAACAAACAAACAAAAAAATGTTTCCCCCACCCCTCCTTCTTTCCAGGCTCAACTTAACTCCTTCATTCCTGACTCTTGTAAGTCCTCTCCACCAAGTGACACAGTGGGGATGGGGAATGGGGGTTCCAGTCTGTCCATAACAGCTTCTGTCTGCTGCTCCTTCCTCTTCACACCTTTCCTCTGCTCCGGCACGTGGTTCTCCATGGGTACGGTCCTCTCCATGGGCTGCAGGCAATTCTTGCTTCACTGTCGTCTCCTCCACTGACTGCAGGGGAACATCTGCTGTGGCATCTGGGGCACCTCCTACCCCTCCTTCATCACTGACCTTGGTGTCTAGAGGGTTGTTTCTCACACTTTTTTTCCTTACCCCTCGCATTGGACTGCACAACACTTTTCCCTTTCTTAAATGTGTTTTCAAAGCTTTGCTGATGGGCTCGGCCGTGTCCGGCAGCCAGCCCATCATGGAGCCATCTGGAACCAGCACTGTGCAGCATGGGGCCAGCCCCTAGGCTTCTCTCACAGAAGCCACCCCTGCAGCCACTCCCCACCATCCTGGGACCAGCACCTTGGCATGGAAACCCAATGCACTGGCCACTGAAATGTCTGAAGGAACGGGGACGGTGTAATGCACTCACTGCTCAGTGACTGCAGCACAGCCCTGGGTGCGAGGTGCGTAGTGCTGTTTAAAGGCATTGCACATGGTATTTTCAGCTACTTGGAAATAAATGTTCTGTGCAAAAATAGCAGAATTTCTGCTCACAAGCTGATTCCACATGGACCTGGTTTTTGTAGAGCAGGAAGAACTCCCATATTCCTGGGGAAGAAAAGTAAAACAGAGGTAGGAAACACCACAAAGGTGATCAGAGGGCTGGAGCACCTCCTGTATGAGAACAGGCTGAGGGAGTTGGGGTTGTTCAGCCTGGAGAAGAGAAGGCTCCAGGGAGACCTTAGAGCAGTCTGCCAGTGCTGAAAGGGGGCTACAGGAGAGATGGGGGGGCTCTGGATCAGGGGGTGGAGTGACAGGACAAGAGGCAACGGTTTTAAGCTGAAAGAGGGTAGATTTAGATTAGATATTAGGAGAACATTTTTTCCTGTGAGGGTGGTGAGGCAGTGGCCCAGGTTGCCCAGAGAAGCTGTGGATGCCCCATCCCTGGAGGGGTTCAAGGCCAGGCTGGATGAGGCTTTGAGCAACCTGGGCTGGTGGGAGGTGTCCCTCAGGGGGTGGCACTGGATGACCTTGAAGGTCCCTTCCAACCCAAACCAGTCTGTGATTCTATGAAACCAGTATTGATCAGATCAGGGTAACAGGTTCCAGAAAGAAGTCTTGAAGGTGTTAGCACAGGGGGAAGACACAGGAAGCCTGTGGAGAAAGTTATATGAAGAGTCTGGGTAGCGTGGGGGGTGGGAAATCTAGGTGCAGATAGTGAAATACAAAGATAGTGTAAAAAAGTCCAGTGGCAAAGCTCAGGTCTTAAGAGCTTTTACTTCTGTATGTGTTAACAGTCTTTTACCATCCATTTCTCTTAGAAAAGATGGATGCTGTTATGGATTTACAAAAAGTAATGCATTGTTTACCTCTAGCCACCTTTTGATACCTCAGTTTCCATACAAGAGAAGCAGTGACCCTGAGGAGTTAATTTTCCCAAGCTGTGATGTGAGTGCCAGGAATCCCCTCTGCCGCCCATGGATCAGTATTGCAGAAAAAAATCTTGAAAAACAGAAAAGCTCTTGTCTGTGCAGCTACTGACTTCGGTACAGAGAGGGTGACTTTGGTGCCCTCTGTACCCCCTGGCTGTTGCTGTGACTGTCCATTGTAGTGACAGTGTTCTCGAGGTTTCACTTAATGCTTATGGGTAAAAGTAGGTTGATTATAACCTGACAAAGAGATGACATGAGGTGGTGATGGAGGGATTGATTTTCCCTGATGTAGCTTTTAGGGTGCTCCTGACAGTGAGTATTCACATGCGCTGGGATGCAAGGACTCGCAAAGACACAGAGAGCCATCTCAGATGGGTTACAAACAGAAAGAAATCAGGAAACTGCATTTCTAAGCTGGTAAAGGTTTACTATTAAGCTATGCCCAAGAATAGCGGGCTTCTGAAGCAGAGTTTCTGTAGCAACTTTCTTATAATACTGATTTTATGAGTTTCACCTTTATCACTGTCTAATCTACGTGGAGTGTCTCATTGTCAATGCTGTGTAGTTATTGAGTACAGTGTCTCTCCCCATGTATTAAGTAATACTCAGCAGGCTCAACTAGGTCTAAAGCGTTTCCCGCATTGGCATGTGGCAGATCTCCCAACATAGCCCCACCACAAAATTAGGTGCCAGTGACATGCTCCACCTCCCTGCAGCCCAAGGCAAGCACCCCTGGGGTCAGGGGGTTCCTCAGATGAATAAGATGTAAAGGGGATGTGCTATTTCTGTAGAAAATTAAGAAAATTGAATCTGAAATCCCATGGAGAGGGGATTTTTTACTATGCAAAACCTTTCTTGCTTTATGTAATCTTTCTGCTCGTAACCTTGTTACCCACATGCTCAGAAGCACCAAAGCAGAAGCACCAGAACCTGTATATTCAAGTTGTCTCAGCAGAATCACTTCTGTACAATGTTTAGGGGCAAGGGACACTGATCAGCAGCAATAGGAGTTGGAGGACACCTGCTGGGAATGCATATCTTCTGCTCAGCATGAGCAGTTGGGAGAATATTTAATTAAAAGCCCCTGATGATGTTATCCATTTTCCCAATCTCAGAGAGCAGCAAGAGCAGATCTGCTCTGCAGAGGAAGGTGAGCTGAGTGTCAAGGGTTACCACATCAGTCTACAGTTTGGGTGTTTACCTGAGCTAGCTAATTGTCCCCCACTCTTTGACCATGATTTCAGCATTGATGGGAGGGGGGGAAAGAAAACAATTAGAGAAGCACTTCTATCTTCCCCTTTCCCAGTCTTATATTCCCTTATTTTACCAAATTGTACATGGAATCCATCAAAATCCCTCTGATGAATATCTGGGCACTGTGGGAGTGAGGCAGTAAGCACAGAGGTTCCTGCTCCAGCATGGTGTCAGCCACAGGCTGGAGCTCTCTCCGGAGCATCCCTGACCTGGCATGGTACGTTCTTTCCCCTTGAGAGTTCCCTGGCCAGTTCCAGATGTTTTGTTAAATATATTTAAGCTCAAGTACTTCTCTGATTTGATTAAATTTTGGCATACAATGGGTTTTTCCACTGTTGTTTCATTTGTCTTCAGGCAGCCTGGAACTAATTTTGCCTGACGTGGTGGTTTGTGATGTCCTCCCCGCCCCCCCCCAAGTCACTGTTGTGATCCACTGCTTCTTGCAGCCTACAACGCTGCCAGCTCCATCCCTCCCCCTGTGAACTACGTGCTGACGACTAGATTGTGGAGATTATAATCCTAATGGTTTGAGTCATCTGCCATAAATTGTGCAACCCAGTGGCTATAGTACCGATGTACAGCAAAGTAAGGAATATACAGGCAAAGAGCAGCACCATTATGGGATATATCCCTAGGTTGTTAAGTTTAGCAGCTCTGGCACTACATAAGAAACCAAAGTGGGTGGCGAACGATGCCAGTTCGTTAGAGTGTAGGTATTTCACCACCAGCAGTTTCCTTTCCATATAACATAACTTTGTTGGTACTCCATTCTGTTCTGCTATATCATAAAATCACAGAATGGTTTGGGTTGGAAGGGATCTTAAAGATCATCCAGTTCCAACCCCCTGCCATGGGCAGGGACACCTCCCACTAGCCCAGGTTGCTCAAAGCCTCATCCAGCCTGGCCTTGAACCCCTCCAGGGATGGGGCATCCACAGCTTCTCTGGGCAGCCTGGGCCACTGCCTCACCACCCTCACAGGAAAAAATGTTCTCCTAATATCTAATCTAAATCTCCCCTCTTTCAGCTTAAAACCGTTGCCTCTTGTCCTATCACTCCACCCCCTGATGAAGAGTCCCTCCACCTCTCTCCTGTAGCCCCCTTTCAGCACTGGAAGACTGCTATAAGGTCTCCCCGGAGCCTTCTCTTCTCTAGGATGAACAACCCCAAATGTATATGTAAAGGTATTAGTTTCATTGTCATCAGGTGCCACCCAGTAGGTAAACCTTTGTCCTCAAGTTATAGGGACTCCCTCCTTAGGGATTTCTGCTGCTGCAGATGGAGAGCTGCAGCCTCAGCTCTTGGTCCAAGCACGCCCAGGGCTGGCTGGTGGCGTATCCCCTGGTTGAGTCTGGGCTGTTTGATTTTCTGCAGAGCTACAGGCTTTGTGCTAACTAACTGCATAGCTTGGTGGAGCTGAGATTCCCACTC